ACCCGCCTCGCAAGAAAACAGGCTTATTTTAGAATACTTTGAGGCACTTCCCACTATATGTTTGAATTTAAACCTGAAAACTTGCAAGCAAATTAGCAAATATGAAAGAGAACTGACATCATTTAAAGCTACCAGGGATGTAAGCTTAAAGGACTGTCTTTTGCAAAAGGACTGAAAATACTTATGTTGCTGACCATTCTAATTTTAGGTAATTTGTTTGCTTAAATAATCTGGTTTATGGTACAAAAATATTCTACATTATGTATGATCTGTCAACCACTGAATACAATAAATTACAAAATCTGAACTGACACTAAATTATTACTAATCATGTTAAAAACAGGCACAATCAATCTGACAACACTTATATTATGCATAAAAGTCATCCTGGAAGATATGGTATTAGGTTCCTTAATCTTAAACTATTTCCCAAAAGACTAGATATTAATCTTATGCCCTTCCTATGGCTCAATAAATGTACCTATTGTAACTGCTGAAAGATCGATCACTGCAGAAGGCAGATTCTGAACTGTTACATTCGATACAAGCTTCCATTCATCTTCTCAAACCTGAAGAAACTTGAAATTGAAATACTGAATGCAATAATATTAGCTGCAAGAAGAAATGTTGAGCTTTGGGGCCCCGGAGTCTGGACTTCAACTTACTTGAGTCTCTCTGGGACTATACTAAATGTAAGAAGGGGAAAGGAATCCAAATACAAAAATGCTAAATAAATGTAGGAACAACATACAGATAATATGACCTGAAATAAGCAAGAAGATAAATGTATTGAGCTTTTGCCAAGCTGACTGCCTGAGGACATAATACATTTCTTTTCACTGTGTCTTTTTTTTTTTAACTGATTTATTTTCAAAATTTCTTCTTATTTTAATGAATCATGTCTCCTTCAGTATAAACAAAATGTTCAGCTTCCAAGATTTTAGTATTAATCAAGTTGGATTTATTTCAACTTTAAAAATTAAAATACTATTGTGAACAAAATGAAAATACTGTAGGTAAATTCTGTGGCACAGAAATCCAGCATGCAAATTTTCCTGCTCTCCCCTTCCCAAGTGACTACATATACACAAACCTGTCTGAGTTCCATACCTGTTTCCTGAATGCTTACAAGAGATTCATTATTGATTCTTTACTCTGAGTACAGCCTTAAAATCTACAGGAGTGACTACTAACAGTTTTTGGAAATGTTATGGTTAGAATCAAATGATGTCACTACCTTGTGTTTGTTTTTTGTATTTAATTTCATAATTTTGTATCTGTTTTTTAAATTGCTATAGTGCTGTAAAATGGTGAGTTTTATAGAAAAATGAGCCATAACCATTAAAACCAGCAACTACGTGTTATAAGCATTTTCATCATACCAAAAGAATTTACAATAATTCAAAGGTACATTGAGTATGCATCTTCAAATACGTATTTAAAATATAATTTTGCCCCTTTACAAATTGATGGTGCATCCACATCTTGAATACTGTGCCCAGTTCTTGTCCACACCCCTCAAAAAGGATATAGAAGAACTAAAGAAGGTACAGAAAAGGGAAACAAGGACGATTAGCGGTATGGAGGGGATTCCATATGAGGAGACTAAAGAAAAGGGCCAATGTGGTCCCCATTTACAAGAAGGGGAGAAAGGACGACCCAGGTAACTATAGGCCAGTTAGTCTCACCTCAGTCCTTGGGAAGACCTTTGAGAAAATTATTGAGGAACACACCTGCAGGGGCCCAGCATGGGAGGTAATGCTCAGGGGCAACCAAAACAGGTTCACTGCAGGCAGATCCTGCCTGACTAACCTTGTTTCCTTTTACAACCCGGTCACAAAGTCCTTGGATGTGGGTGCTGAGGTGGATGCCATCTACCTGGACTTCAAGAAGGCCTTCAACACTGTTTCTCACCCCATTCTCATAAAAAAAACTAGGCAACTGTGGCATTGATGCCTACACAGTCAGATGGGTGGCAAATTGACTCGATGGTCACACCCAGAGAATGGTGGTGGACGGGTTGTTTTTGACCTGGCGGGATGTGGGCAGTGGAGTTCCCCAGGGCTGGGTCCTCAGGCCTGTGCTATTCAACATCTTTATCAGTGACTTGGAGTCGGGTGTGGAAAGCACACTGTCCGAATTCACTGATGACACAAAGATGTGGGGAGAAGCAGGCACAGTGGGGGGGGGGGGGGGCAAAATCAAA